TTTTTAGTTTCTTATTCTTAAATTTAAATTTTAAATAATACGTGTTTGGTTAAAAAGAGATTAAATTGATTTTTAATTTAATTTAAAATTATTGTCACTATTATTATCCATAATTATTATTGTTATTATTAAGCAATTAGTCACAATCTTTACCATTAATTATAATTTTTTATTTTTATTATCATTGTTACTATTATAATGATGATTATTATTGATTATTAGGTTACCAACTTATAATCATTGTGATATTATAAATAGATATTATTATAATTGTCATCATCACTTTTTGTTATTTTTTATTTTTATTATTGTCATTGTAATCATTACTAAAAATTAATTTTTTCATTATTGTTATTATTATTTTAATTATCACTACTATTAATTGTCATTATCATCATATTCGTTGATGTTATTGTTGTTCAACTTCAAATGATATCATTATAATCATAATTGTTGTAGTTATCATTATCACCATAAATAGATGTGTAAAAAATTTGCCTAGTCCAACAATTAAGAATAACCATAAAAGTAAGTTTTATTTGGTCTCAATACTCTTTTAAATATATTTTTTCTTTAAAATCTAAATTGCATATGAAATAATATATTAATAAAAAGAAGTGACCTAATTTGACTAGGTTTAATATATCAATTGACCAGGTTAGACGAAAAAAAATATGGAGTTGTGTCAATTTAGGCTAAGTGTAACAACTTGCCAATTTTCTATATTTTACATCTCAACATCTAGTAGTGAAAAATATAAGTCTAATTACATAGGATGAACATGCAAACATTCATTAGAGATACACACACAGTAATCCAAATTGGAAAAAAACATAAATCTTAAGTTATCGATCAAACAATCATTATACATAGTTGTCTCAAAATAGACGTCGCCATCTCTAACATAACCCTTAAAACTTAGCTCGCCTCCCACTTAATCTTGTCTTACTCCTATATAAACATGATTATCTCAGTCTAATAATAAGAAAAATGCAAAGGTAAGCTCGTAATAGGAAAACAACATAACATAGAAGTAAAAGTTATTATATAAACAACTTCACCAAAGCACACACAACAACAACCAAAGCTTTACTCAATAACACATGTCAATGTATCAACAATCATAGATTTCATCTTTCAACATAGATTATTAATTCATCATCTTAACAACAAAGCGACTTAAACAACATTGCAACACAACAACATAATGCATTATCGCACATTTCAACTAATAAATCTCTTATAACATAGGTGAACAGTCTAAGTAACTTGATTCTACTGAACCAACTTACCAACATGATCATTTTGGGTTTGCTAGATTAACGACAAGTTTGGATATCAATTTACAACACAATATGATTTATCAACTTTCCCCACTTAAATTAGGAAAGTCTAATATCCCTACTATGAATAGAACAACTTGGGTGTAAGCTTTAACATGCATAACTAAGCCTATATATGGAACTAGCCTGTTGACTACCCTCAAAATATTGCCTCTTTTTTTTTTTTATAGTAATTAGTTTGGGATTTTGGCCCCAACCTTATACTTTACTCGGTTGGTCACTTTTAAACTAGTATGTCTTGACCTTGGCCTTATACATATCAACTAAAGACCTATAGGATACTCAACAATCCACTTCAAAAGAAACTATACTCAATATGGGTTTTTCAACAAATAAACTCTTAGAACATCACAACAACATATGCTCACAACCGGATATTTATCTTTCTTAAAACAACACTTCTCCCCTAATCCTAAGTAAACAACACAACAAAATTACATGCACCAAGCATTTATAACACAACTCCATTCAACAATATACAACTGATCTTATCAACATATCACTCTACCTCATATAATCTTAAATTAGAATCAACTCTCAACTATATCAACTTAGAGCATCACAATATATCATCAAAGATCAATAAATTATAAACTATATTAAATCATCATCTATATAAGATATATTATCATCATACTTCAACCTTGAAATCAACTAAGTTATAATTTACTTTCCCCAGGACCACGCCCGACGTCATTCAACTTGCACTTAACATTGGTGAGGCAAAAAACCTTTGATGATTCTCCCACACATGGCCTTATTCCACTTGCGTTCGACATGAATGATATAAGGAGTCTATAAGTGCACCACACTTAACATAACAGAATCCACGTTTAGTGTTATTTAGGCAAATAATCTCTATCTAACCCACGTCTAGTGCCACAAAATGTACACTCGAAATAGCCCAAATAGAGAGTCGCTAACTTAATCATGTTTGGCACCACTCAATTAGGGCCTAGTGTCACCAAGTCATAGATCTTTCAGGGCAATCACATATAACGTGACCAAGTCATAAAGTCTCCTCTAACTTACACCCACGCTACCAATCATATGTCCGACATCAATGAGGTAGATAGTCTTTGACCTACATCATGTCTAATGTCATGAAGTTGCAATTGGTGCAATGGTGATTTTTGCACTTGGTATAATCACGATCTTGACTCAAAACCTACACAAATCAACTCCCAACCAACATGTAACAAGTAAAGCAACACATAGACTTATAAGATGACTCAAAATCACAAAAGTATACAATATGCAACAGACTAAGAATTCACCCAATTCTTCTTTAAAGACCAACAAAATCCAAACAATAAGAAAATCTCTTCTCAAATCAATCAACATAGCCACAAAAGATGAATTTCAAGTTAAATTCAATATATTCAACACAATAATCAATCTATAAGCTTCATTTACCTCAAAATCTCTAAAAAATAAGTAAAAAAAAGGATGAAAGTTTGAGAATATCGAGTTCCTATACGACAACTTCTCACTTCGATTCTTAACTCCAAAAGTTTTGCATATTATGCCTCAACATGACTTCTCAATCTTACGTAGGGAATAATCTACAACACTTTTGGAAAATCAGAAGAAGAAGAAGAATAAAGTAATTCTGACTCTAAAATTCTTCTCTATAACTTTCTTAAGAAAATGAACTTATAAAATTTATGTCTTAAGAAAATATTGTATACCTTTTCTTAATCTTGATCAAGTTTAACTTCAACTAAAAACAACTCTTAGTTAACTAAACTCATAAGAATTTTTTTAAATCCCTAGAATTTTACAACAACTAAATAACAAAACATTCAATCACGCAATGAATAAAATTAGCTAAATAATTAAATTTTTTAATATTATAATAAGTAAACCTAATTACATGCTTTAAATTATCTAACTGAGCAAAACCATCCCGTTTTAATAGCACTAATCATAATTATAACTGTCATCAACTAGTATTATACCCACCTTCACTAATAATCAATTTAACCAAAATTGTCTTTATGATCTTCATTTCCTTTTCTGTCGGTCCTATTATTATTACCACTTCACTAATAACCAATTTAACCAAAATTTTCATTGTGATCTTCATTTCTCCTCCAATCAATCAGCCCTATTATTATCATTGCATTAGTCATCACCAAATACATCCAAATAAAAATACAACATCCATTGCATCTGCGAGCAACAGAGGGGTCATTTTTGAGTTACACCTACCTTTCATCTTGGTTAGACAATTAATACACCAGTTTCCTTCTTGCAAAATATGCATCAAGAAGCTCGTCGAGTGATCTTTTGTTAAGTAACCAAACTCGTTTGTCTTGTGTTTCTCAATGCACCACCATTAGAATTAAGTGTTACAATTGTTTTTACGACACCTGAAAACCTATCTCACATGAAACTTTTGATGATTGAAATTATTAAGTTAGTTAACATTTACAAAAATAACAAATAAATTTTTATTTAATGATAGTTAACAACTATTTTATTATATTTAAAATGAACTAAACCTTTTAATATTAATTAAAATAATTTAAAAATAATTTAATTAATTATTAAATTGATTTAATATATAAATTCACGACGTATACATCACAAAATAAGAAAAAAAAAGCATGAATCTATGAAAACAATACATGTAAAATTGTTTATTTTTAGAATAAAAGCTTAAATTTATATTAGGAAAATATATTGAAGAAATTTAAATATTAATTAAAATAATTATGAAAATTGAAAAACTTTCTTTAATTAAATGTTGATTTGTTTTGAACCGGTGGGTCACTAGTTGAACCGCATGACTCGATTTTTATTTATTTTTATTAAAAAATATTCATATTAAATATATTTTATACTTATAAATTTTAATAAATTCATATCTTATTTTAAATTTTAATTTTTCTATCTTATTTAAAATTATTTTTATTTTTATTTTGTAAAAAAATACATAAAAAAATTACATGTTAAACAGTATATTAATACAAATTAAAAATATAAATAATATGTACATATATAATATGCTTGCAATTAATATCACAAAATAATATATGTAATATTTACATAGATATTGCATTATTAAATATATAATTTAAAATTAATAATATACTATAAAAGTTATTTAAGTTGTATATATTACAAACAAATATATTAGAACAAGTAGTCATTGTTATATTTAATAAGACTCCTTGCTTTTTCATTAAGAGATTCAATTTTCATTATTATTTTTGTGATTTATGGTCCCTTAAAAAAAAATTTTTTTAAAAAAAAGTGGTTGAACCGGTTTGACCCACCGGTTCACCGGTTGAACCGGAAAATTGACGGTTCAATCCGGTTTGAAACGGGTTGACTGCATAACCGATTCAACTTCAGATTCGGACCGGCTGGACCACTGGTTCCCGGTCCAACCGGTCCGACCGGCTGGGTCGGTCCGGTTTTAAAACACTGATAAGAAGTATATAATAAATAATTAAACCATGTAAGTATATAAAAAAAACCACATATAAAAAAGAAATCTTTTAAAATTTAAATTAAATCAATAATACAAAAAAAAAAAGAATAAAATAACTTTAATTTTTAGTATCTAAACTTCACTGTCAAAAGCATTTCGAAACCAATCCAAAATATCTCATTAGGTATCTAGAGTAGAAGCAAGAAGTAGAGAGGCCAACGTTGTGCTAATGCCAAACGAAAATAAAAGGGTAAAAGAAAACTCCTAAACGAGGTTCTTTGTCATCCATCCAATAAGAGAGCCTCATTTCCAACACAACAAGACTACTACCCCATTCCAACTCGTTCCCCATTACACTGCCAAAAACGTTATCCCCTTCACTCCGATAGAACTAGGTTAAGCGCCAACAGGTTTCTCTTTCTTTTCCATTGTTGCCTGTCTCAGAATTATGACAATTTTTATCCATTCTTTCATTGTAGCTAGAGTATTCTTGTCGCTTTTGCTCCCTGTTTTAATTGCTTAACTACACAAAAATGTATATATAAGCCACATATTCCTTCTTCTTTATTCCCTACGTCTCTATTCGTGAAATTTCAAGTGTTGTTAATTACAGTATATTTTTTCCCTCATTCTTTTGGTTTCTGGTATATTAAATTTAACTAGCTAGTAATTCATTACTTGTTAGAAGGTTCACCGAACATCAGCAAAGTGTTTTTTATGCTTTGGATTAAATATGTTTTTAGTTCCAGATTTTTTTTTTCAACAAGTTTTTCAACAATTTTTTTTTTTGGTTTTTCGCCCCTAAAATTTTTCTCCATAAACAAAAAAATCTTGACTCGAAGACCAAAACTGAAGAAAAGTTCGTGGACTAAAAAGTTAAAATGAAAAAAATTCAGGGGCTAAAACTAGTAAAAATTTATTCAGGAGCTAAATGTGAAAACCGATAATAGTTCCAAGAATAAAAATATATTTAATCAATTTCATTATTGAGTTTTTTTATGCAAGCAGAATTTTCATTGAGAAATTTTGTATTTAGTGGGATATTGTCTTGCTGAAAATATATAGGATGGCCATTGCAAGTTTTGGTAGTACAACAGCTACTCAATGGGGAATTCGTCCTCAAATATTCGTGGGATCGACTGGGATGGGGAAGATTGCATCATCCAGGCACAAGTTAGTCCTACAATTAAATATTTCTTGACTGAATTTGTTGGCTTGTTGCTCTTGCATATGGAAAGGATATAAATCACTTTTAATATAGTTTTATCTATCACAATATCCATGTGATATAACCATTAGCTAGGTATAAAATGTGGTTTTTTACAATAATTGCCAGCCATATTAGTCTTCTTGTTTGGATATAGACTCAGATTCTCAGAATCTTGGGGTTGTTTATTATCCTACCTGTCATTGAATATTAATCTTCAGCCGTGGCTTATTCGGTGGGTGCCCCACAATTTTTTCAGCATAGTTCATTGTGCTAAAGAGTGTAATTAAATTAAATCAATTTCCTTGCAGTGTTACAAGCAGGATAAGCTTTCTGGCTACCCCAAGTTCGAGCTTTTCTTTTCGAGATTCCTTGCAGGTACTTTTTGACAAAGGTTCATCGCAAACTTTGCATCGTCGCAGGGGATCAAGGTTGATGGTTAGGGCAGCTGCAGTAAGTTTTAATTACTCGTGCATTTCTAAGCAACGATGATTTCCTTGGATTTTTCCTTACAATTGTGCCTTATGATAGCCTTCCTCCTTAAATTATATGACTCATGAACATTCAACATTCAATATGTTGACTCATCCAATGTGTGCCAATGTGCAGGATTATTATTCTGTCCTCGGGGTGTCAAAAAATTCTAGTAAATCTGAAATTAAGACTGGTATTTTTTCTGTCGTCCTTTCCCTTTTTGACTGATATGATATGATTATGCCTCTAATCTATCATCATCAATTGATATGTTCAAATATATTGTTTTTATTTACTTCACGAATTGCCATTTTTTAGTGTAGCAATGTGAAGGAAAATCAATCACCCTAATAGGACCAGTCCATAATCTAATAAATGATTATCTCTTTTCATATAGGTCTTGCTGCTTCCTTTAACCTTGACAAATTAAATTTACCTAAAATGCATGTGAAGTATGCAAGATAAGTACTGAAAACAAAATCTAAAACTTAATTTTCTCTTTTAATATGGCAAAAGGGTCTGTTTAGGCTGGTTGCAATTTTCGATTTTTAAATGTAAATTTCAAAACACAAGACATGTTTGTCTTAAATGTTGTTAAGATGGTTTTTAACTCAATTTTAAATCACTTTTACATCAAATTTTAAAATAGAAAAAAGTATTTGTGATTATGGCTTTTAGTTTTAAAAAGCATCTACTACCCCCCAACAGCACTATCATTGCTTGACACTCTCCACGTCTACTGAGGACATCTGCTATGTTGCTTCCTCAGCAGCATCTCCAACGATGTTGCTGTCACCACCATCAATCCCACTTGTGCGCAATATAGAGAAAACAATTTAGGGCCTATTAGGTTGTCATTCATTAGAGATCTGACAACTATGATTCGTTCAAAATTATAATGACATAGTCCATGTACTTTGTCATTCATCAGAATTTTATACAATACTGTTTCATATGCAAACACTTCCCAATGAATTTTCTCATTCACTATAATTCATTAATTTGGTTGGGGGGATGTACCCATGCACAATGTGTTACTCTGTGTTCTGCTAATGTTTCACGTGTTTGGGTTGATGGTAATTTCTTTACACACAACTTCAGAGGGGTAATGCAGTGATTCACTGAAAGGTTTGAGTTCATAGTGGTTTTGAAGATGATGAAAAGTATAGGGTGATGGCGTGAGACATTTGTGGGTTGTGCCTCCTATTATTTTTGATCTGGCTAAACACAGTTTGTAAAACTTGAAACTACAAAAAATACTAAAACTGCCAAACTTAGGTTGGGGACTAGAGTAATTATATTACTCAAATTAGTAGGATTTATTTTTGATTTATATAAGAAGAGCTTATGCTTGTTGGTAATACCTGAGGGCTTATTTTTTGGATGGTTGTTTATTTTCCTTTATACAAAAAATAAAAATAAAAATCATGGGTGTTAGCTTTCCAAAATCGAATATATAAATTTTCAAATTCAGTTGCTTTTTGTTGCCTTTATTGCTCTTTGGTGTTTATGGTGTGATAGGACTTTTCTGTAAACCAATAAAACAAATGCCAACTAGAAATCTGGTTTAAGATCCTCTAGGAAACTTGCCACCAAAACTTAACATTCAAATTATGCATCTTTTTCTTTTCAGTTTTTTGTAACGTAGAATAGATTTGCAGAAGAAGTTTAAACTTTAAAATTAGTAGATGGGAAGCATCAGTGATTAGGATAATGATAGATGGTTGTGATTAAGAAGTTATTACTAAGCAGTTCTTGTGTATGATTTACTTGACTATGCACAATTTTTGTGTGCGGATTTTCTATTGTATTATTTCAATGAGAAATTTCTCTATACTTTGGATATTTCAGCTTATCGGAAGCTTGCCCGGACTTATCATCCTGATGTGAACAAGTGAGTTCTTTTTGTCTCTTTCATATTGAACATCATCTACTTTGTGATACACTTCCCTTGCCTTGTTTCCCACTTTATTTTTTGTCTTTTAATGTTTTTAATTATTGTATGTGACTGTTGTTATGGACAAAGTGGTTTGGATGTCTTTGATGAAAAAGCGTGTGGCTTGTTCTTTTTTAAAATTATATTTTTCTGAACTGCTTATTGGATAAAATATTTTGACCTAGCACCTCTTCTCACATCAATTTTGCTAGGTGCACAATTTTCTCTTTCTTCATATTCGTTTGATTAATCTTGCTTGAACTATTTTGGATGTTCACTTATGCTGCAGAGAACCTGATGCAGAACAGAAATTTAAGGAAATTAGTAATGTATATGAGGTAAAACTACAACTTGTTGAACACATCTGGCCCTTGTGCATGTGTACTTGTAATTGATCTTTTGTAATTCAAATTCTTTTGCAGGTCTTGTCAGATGATGAGAAACGATCCATATATGACACATATGGAGAGGCTGGCCTCAAAGATTCAGGAATGGGCATGGGGGTAAGTTACCTCTAAGACGATGAGTTGACTTTGTTATCATATTATATACTCTTGTTTCTCAAAGACAGATCATCTTTGTGATTTTAGGATTTTAGCAGTCCTTTTGACCTATTTGAGTCGCTGTTTGAGGGCATGGGTGGCATGGGGGGCAGCAGAGCTTCGAGGAATGGAGCAGTTGATGGTGAAGATGAGTATTACAGTCTTGTTTTAAACTTCAAAGAAGCTGTTTTTGGGGTGGAAAAGGAGGTAGAGGTTCGACGATTAGAGAGCTGTGGAACCTGCAATGGTTCAGGGGCTAAACCAGGGACTAAATCATCCAAGTGTAGCACCTGTGGTGGTCAGGGTCGGGTTGTGTCATCGACAAGGACTCCATTAGGCATCTTTCAACAGTCTATGACTTGCTATTCTTGCAATGGGACTGGAGAATTTTCAACACCTTGCAATACATGTTCTGGGGAAGGTCGAGTGAGGAAGACAAAGCAGGTAAGTCTCAAGGTTCCTGCTGGTGTGGATTCTGGTAGCCGTTTAAGGGTCCGAAACGAAGGTAATGCTGGAAGGCGTGGGGGTTCTTCTGGTGATCTCTTTGTTGTTCTTGAAGTTATCCCTGACCCCGTGCTTAAGCGATATGACACAGATATTTTATACACATGTAAGGTGTCTTATATTGATGCAATCTTGGGGACTAAAGTTAAGGTACCTACTGTAGATGGCATGGTGGATTTGAAAATCCCAGCTGGGACTCAACCAAGCTCAACACTTGTTATGGCCAAGAAAGGGGTTCCCCTGCTGAATAAAAAGAATATGAGGGGTGATCAATTGGTAAAGGTGCAAGTTGAAATCCCCAAAAAACTGAGCAAAGATGAGAGAAAACTTATTGAGGAACTTGCTGATTTAAGCAAAGGCAAGACTGTTGCCACCAATAAGAGATAACTTGTTGAAGAACCTTTAAGTCTACATATTTGTAGCCTCATTTCCTTTTATGGATGTTAAATTATTGACCTTGAGATTCACAGAACTCGGGACATCTATTCATTTTTGAATTGTGGGATGGGTGAGCATATGTTGGTACATGTAGGTTACTACTGCTTATAGATAGGAAGATATGAAAGAGCAGAAGAAACGAAAATTTTTTATTTTTGGATTTTATATGCCTTTTGCAATTTTATTGGCTTTTTAAGGGTTAGGAGTTGAAGGACTATAGCTCAGGTGCAATGCCATCTTCATTTTGTTAAATGTTGCTTTTAAAGAAAATTGAAAATATATACTATATTATTTAAAGTTATTTATAAAGCAAAAACAATTTGTTAACATATTTTGTTTGCGTCTCTTAATTTTTGCTGATGTCAACTTCTGTTCTGGCGTTAGCAGTGATGATAACTTGATATGTGGAGGCCCATGACTGAAGGTCACATTGATTTACCGTTTTAGCAGTTTTTTTTCTTCTTCTTTTTTTCCCGCTTACATGATGGTACAACCAAACCAAGATAATCCTGAACCAACGATAACTGCATGTAGGGGTAGAAATATATCAAGAGTATGGTTCATATCATATTAATCGTGGAGGTAGAAATATCAGATACTATGTTTGATTAATTGTGGTTCATTTCATATCTAAATTTAGGTTCAATTATTAAATAATTTTTTTAAAAGCTTGTTTAATTAAAAGACTAGGTACTTCTCTTAATAGGTTTTTTTTAGTGAAGTTAAACAAGTTACTCTATTTAAATAATAGTAATAATAACAGCGACATATAAACTTGTAATAATTATTATTGTATTAAATTTATACAGTATCATTTCAAAGTTATACTCGTAGATTTAACTAAAGTCTTAAACCCATTAACTTAAATATAAGTTTAAGCATATTGCCTTCGATAATCTTCATGGTTCTTAAAAAACTGGAATCATGCGGAATTACAATTGCTTCTGTAAGCAACTACGTGAAACTTGGTGAGATAAACAATTTTACAATAAAAATTGGAGAGAATGTGTTATTTTGAGAAATGATAGCTACACCCTCTTTAACACTTTCTTACTAATAATTTTTTCATCAAATAATAAAGAGTGTTTTGAGATAATATCATTAGCATTTCTTGTTACTTTTGGGTGCAAATGGTTGCACTGTTAAAGGTGCTCTTGTTTAGAAAATATATATTTTTTAACGTAATTAAAAATATTTATTAGCAAGTAGGCTTTTAAATAAACTTTTAGATTGTGTTAGACCTTTAAAAAAAATGTATCAAGAAAATAAGTTAGAGAAAATGCTGGGTCATTGTGATCAGAGAACAACTTTGTAATGGATATAGAGCAAAGGATAGAGGAAAAATTATAATAAAAAAGAAGCAAATGGGGTGAGAGAGGCTCGAACTCTCGACCTCAGGATTACTCGAAAGCTATGAGACCTACGCGCTAGCCAACTGCGCCACCACCCCAATTGATATTTACTCAGCCCTATTAGGTTGAAAAATCAAAGCACAGTTATTATAATTGTCAATTTTGTTTCATGGATTTTTTTCAGATTAGGACAAGCGCTCTTAGTAAAATTTATTTTTGAGGAAAAAAAAAAGCACCGTTTAATTTATTTTTACTAAGTCCAAAATGACAAAGAAGCTGATTTTTTTTTTCAAATAAAGTTTGTTTTAAGTTTTGTGAAAAAAATATTAATTTTTTTTCCTTTCTTAAATGGGTGGGTGTATCAGTTATCAAATTTGACTAGATTTACGAGTTTTTAGTATAGTTTTTTAACATTTGATACCAGAAGCAACATTATATGATTTATGATCTAATTATTAGGTATAATAATTATTAGATATTATTATACTGATTTTTATAAAATTTCCTTTTAACGTGCATTTTACAATGTTAAAATTTCAATTGAATTCCAATTATTATTAATTTTTTATTTCAACAATTTAATGTGCTTATTCCGGCACGAGTTTTGCCATTATGAATGATAAGAATTCATTGTGTGGGTCTAATTTGCAATCGTTACAATTTGTTTGTGCAATCTTTATTAATTTAATGATTTACACTTGTTAAAATCCTTTTTAATTCATTCAATTGTTATTGTTCACGCAATAGTCATTGTTTGAAGCTATTTCATCTATTCTTGGATATGCTTATTTTATAACTCACATTATTATAATTATTGGCTGGATTAGTTATGAAAAGAAATTTTACAATAAGAGTGATAAAACTTTCACTAATATGCTTAGAATCCTAAATCCCAGGTTAGTGTTAGAATGTTTATTCACTCCATCAATTCCAGTTATTTTGATATAAGTATACTGTATATGAACTGTGATTAAGAATGTATATCTTTTAAGATTTTGATAATTTGTTTATTTTTATTTTTATTCTTTTTGTTATTGTGAATTTATAGTAGATATTTGTTTATTAATTTTTTGATATATTCTTTTTTTTTTTGGTATATATTTGTTTATTAATATGATGCTATATAAATATAAAAAGAAATGTTTATGAAAAAAAATTTTAACTTGAATTAACGGAAACTTTAACGTGAGTGTTAGAGACTCAACGTGACTTGTTTTTTTGTGTTTTTTTGTGCTCAACGTGACTTTGTCCTTAACTCCTTATATATCAAACTTTTATACAGAGAAAAAAAAAATACTTTTTAAATTTCTTTTATGCTTATTTTATGAAAAATTTGAAAACAGTTTTTGTCAAAGACGAACTTAGTAGTCTAGTACTCTTGTCAGTGAGTATTAAAAAATTATGGTTCGGTGAAAGTTTTTGCAGCTATAAGTACTTGTATGCTTTGAAATTTCTTTAAAGGAAAATGAAATGGAATAACAGAAACATTTTCTATGAACAACTATGAATTTTTCTAATAAAAAATAAAAAAATGGCGCAGACAATTTTTATAATATTTGCACAAGTTAACATGCACGTAAATTTAAATTACTAATTAATAATATATTTTGATTCCATTACCTACTTAACCATAAACATCAAAGTGAGTTTAAATTATAATTAAAAAATTAAATTAAATTAAACTTAACTTTTTAAATCAAGTTTCAAAAAATATCAACACTCTTCTAATTTTTGATCCAACTAAGATTTGCATGTAATTTATACTTAATGGAATGAGAAAAAAATTATTAAACATATAGACACTACATTTGAAACTAACCAACTAAGATTAATATAGACAATGTTAGCAAATTAGTCTCGATTGACTTGAAGAGACAGATATAAAGTGAGATTTCAGGTCTTTTAACAAATTCTGTACAATTGTTTCAAACTGCGACATTCAATGCTCAAATGATCAAATTCAAGCAAATCTCATTCACCTTTAAGAAAATTATAAGAAATAATTTAAAGAAAAAACTTACATTTGCACATATAAGTTTTCTCAGTCATATGTTATTATCTGATTACTCTAAAATTAAAGTTTCATTTCAATAATTCATGCAATCTTTTTTATATAATAATTTTATTTTACTTCATAATTTTATGTGAAATTTTAATTTTGATCTAAAACCAAAACAATAATACTCAATAAACCATAAGTAAGTTTTGTCCATAATATAGACCCAAAAAGAAAATGAAAAGAAGAGGTGCAATTTCCATTTTACATCTAAAGATGAAGATAATCATAATCTCCAACATGAGAATATGTTACCATTTCTAAGGGTTGAAAAAGTGGTCACCACAATGACATTTCCAACTCAATGGCTTGTAATTGGAGTACCTGTTACCTTGAAGAGAGAATTTTTTTGGGGCACGACATGGCTGAACTCGGTTATGGCTACGCACTGATGGAACTTGAACTGCCATGCATGGATGACACTGGTTGCACTTGTTGTGACATGTTGGAGGACTTGAACCTATTCTGTTTTTCTTTGCACATAAAGGCTCCTGCACATAACATAACAGTACCACACAACTGAGTCATTTTCAAACCACACACACTCACAAAACCATGACTTTAATTAAAGTCTACCGGTGCATGTTGTGGTTGATTGAAACAAGAAACTGGACACAGCACATGGTGGAGTAGAAATGTAATAACAATAATAAGCAAGATAGTGAGGGTAGTGGAGTTCTGAATTGAATTGAGTGAAGCCATGATGAATGTCTATCATGTCATCTCTTGATGTCATTCCCAATCTAAAACCAGACACTAACAGGGACAAAATTCAATGTTAACTGAGTAGTGAGATTATGATATATACTATTTATACTTTGTATACCAAACAGTGATATGATTAAAATAGACCGTATAATTAGAATAATCTTTTTTATATAAATTAATTTTATAAAATTGAATTAGACTCAAATTTATATTTTTAACATGTTATTAAAATTTATTATAGGGGTTAGACTTATAAAGACTATCCACGTGTGTTTAATCTCACAAATTTACACACTAAAAAATTTGAGATAAGAATAGTACAACCGAAAACGAGATGAAAAAAACAAATGGTTTTAAAAAGTTATTTTTAGTGTTAGAGTGATGAATGACTTTTATTCTTGTGACCAATAGGTAGAAGAAAGAGGGGCTGTGGCGAGTGAGAGGGTGCAGTGAGCGACAGAAAAAGTGAAAGTAACAGTTCAATAGGGTAAACAAAATGGGAGAATCCACATCAGTATCAAGGACCCCTTGGCCAGTGTTCTATTAGTAGTTTGAGACTGATTAGAAGTGGCAGGTTTGAAAGCGAAAGGATTTTTGTGTGTCTCAGTGGGTAAAATTAAAAAACACTCAATGACAGGTGGTGGTTAAAATTGACATTTATTATGCTATCTAATTTTCGCCCCACTTCTTGGACAGAGTCATTGGTTTGACTGTGTTTCACTACAAGTTTTGTTCACGAGAGTCATTGGTTTGACTGTGTTTCATTAGAGTTTTGTTTACAAACCAAAATTGATAGTAAAAGTGATTATGTATTTGTGTGTTCTTTAATTTAGTAGAGTTTAATTCTATTATAGGAATGAAATCGTAATTAGAAGCATTATTTTATTTTGTGGACTAATGGAACATATGAGAGTTAGACTTCTTTATTATTAAAAAAAAGTTTTATTTAGATAAATTTTGTGTATGAAATAAAATAAATTGATTTTTTTAATAAATTAATATATATATATATATATATTAACTTTTGAAAAAATTAAATAATTTTTCTTATAAAAATTAGGTGTATAAGTTAATTTATTTCATGAAATAAAAACTCAATTTATTTTTATTTTTTATAAGAATTTATGAGAAATTTATTCAAACTGTGTCTTCATTACTTACATTTTATAATTAGGAGTTTCCGCCATATTATGACTAGTTATGCAAGCAAAGAGGTACTGTCGGCCAACCGAAACAAGAGTGTAGCATTATCATGGTGTAGAAAATTAATCTACTTGACCTAAAAGACAAAAAGAACTCAACTTTCTATATAAACAGAGTCGTATGAAAGTTGAAGAAACTAATAATGACCAAGAACCGACAACCATTCATTAATTTGCTCTCATAAATAGTACTCATACAAATCTAAGTCTCACTTGTGATATTTAGTTTTAATATTTTATGAAATTTTAGATCTTAATCAAGAATAATGGTTATACATTTTTGGAACAATCTATTTAATAAAAAATTTATATCTAATCTTTGTTGTGTAGGAAACTCATCAAAAATAATCATAGGATTACGAGTCAAATTCATCTTTGATTTAATAGGTTCAAGAATATTTGCAACAAAACTAGAAGAAGAAAAAAACTCGGACTTACATAAAATAATGTCAAAATTAAAGTAGTTAATATTTATAACTTTTTTTTTAAAGGAAAAGCTAATATTTATAACTTAAAGTAGAGTTTAGTGAAATTTGTTATAAAAGAATATATATATAAGATTTAAGCAAAATAAGTTTTTAAAGGTACATAGAACTGTCTTGTTTTTTAGATTCTTTTTTGAGGTTTCGAGATTCTTTACTCACTGTGACTCCACAACTTGCAATTAGCCAAAGCTGTCATTGGATCATTAACATGACATTGAGAAACAGAGAGATAGTGACAGTATGCTGAGAAGATAAAAAAGATGCATATGCTAAGAATGGAAAATATTTTCACTTTTTTCTACGGGATAGTGTCTTTCTTCTTAATTCTTACTGTCACTAAAAGAGTGCTGATGATCATCAAAAACAAGTAAAATAATATTTTGTTTCCGAGAATTTCCAATCGGGAATCAATTATTTGTAATTGACAGACCAAAAATGTCAAGGAAAACACAGGGACAATCATGTTGTCTCTGGCCTGTACCTTCTGAATCTTAAAATTAAGGAAACATGTTAGTTGTATATTTTTTATACAACTTAATATGCTATTTTAGGAAATGTGATCCAATCTTAAATTAATTAATAAAATCAATTATAATAATTTAATAATATATATATATATATATATATATAT